TGGCAATGTTGCACAAAATTTTATGAAAAGTTCAATGCTATGTATTTCAGGTTCCTCAATCGCTTTCTGGGAATGGCCTGTTTCTTTAATATTAAATTATTTCTAAACTATTGGCCTGAATAGTACATATGTACAAGGGAATCTTAAATGTGTACGCATATTTTAAACAGCAGTACAACAACAGGGAAGAATATATAATTTTTTTTTGCGAAAAAATTAAGGAATAAAAACATGATTTGTTGAGAACCGCTGATTTCATTAATATTTATACATAATTACTATTATTTATTATACTATCCATTATATCTAAACGAGATATCAACTACTATGTAGTATTGACGGCTCGGCTCGATTGACGGTGTTAAACAGAACTCTTAAACTCTTAACTTTTTATATAGAATAATAAAGAAAAAATTAAATAAAGAAAAATCTTATATGCTTCGTCAAAATGTTTTACACTAATGCCAATTTTGCGTACAATGCCCTTAAATTACGAATTAATATACTTTAATGCTTTAGTGATGCATACCAATGCACTCTAATGCACGGTAACATCCTTGCACTTTCCATTAATGCCGTGTGATTACCTATCTTAAAACATGGGCGTCTGTATGGGGGGATAGGGGGGCCGTGACCCCCTGAGATTTAATCTTCTCATGTTCAAGGTTGAGCTTATAACACAAAAATTTAAATAAAAAAATCTTGTTGACAGATTTTTTATTTGATCTCTTTTCTTTTTATAAAACTGTTTCATTTATTAGTTTTGTCTCATTCGTCGTTTTCATCACTGACAACAGAATTAATGTATACCTATAAATGCTAAACAATTTCCATCCGAGAACAATAATGGCTATCGAATGTTTTAATTTAATAAACATTACTTGTGAACCCAGCATTATAATACCTACTGAACATTAATAGAATTAGCGGATGATCAGATAGAGTTCTCTTGTTACATTTTTTAATAATTATTATTATTATTTATTTACAAAATGTAAAATGTTTAGACGTAATCCTGTGATTATTGTTAAATTTATTTAGTTTTTGTGCATTAAAAAATGTGAATTTAATATTTGTTATCTTGTTTAATACACTGTATAGGTAGGTAAATAGTAGGTAGTAGATAGTAGGTAAATAACTCTTTTTATACCTATCTTTATTTATAAAGAAGTTTTAGACAGCCAGTGTCTGGAAAATGCTAGGAAAATAGAAATGAAACTTGGTGCATAATGGTAGATGTTCTTTATTATCAATTTTCTTTCCAGTTTTGTATTAATGAGATTATGGGTTTTCTTGGACAATAGCAGAAATGCTGAATGTTGAATAAAAATCATTCCTCGTATTTTCAGACGTATGATGGGGAAATGCAATTTAAAATATATTATTTCTACATTTATTTTATTAACTAAACTTAACATAAATTCAATAAATTAAAATTAAGTCGAGAACTTCAAGAATAGGTAGGTATCTTAGTTCCCGTCTTAAATTTAGTTTATTAAATTTATTACGTTTTATTTTCCATCATAATTTGTATTGTAACAAGGCTTTTGAATATGTAATAATAAAGGGGTGTTTGTTCTATTTAAAATATTGAAGTTGATTTCACGTGACAAAATAATAAAATAAAATTGGATTAATTGGTCGATTGCAATATAAACCAACAAATTGCATTTCCATTACTTCTATTAATGCTTTTGAGAGAAGAAAGGTATTGCCTGTCTAAAATTTCGTGTAATATATATGTTTTAAGCTTCTCCTAAAAACACATCCACAATTTCGATTTGTACCCCCCTGAGAAATATTTCTGCGGACGCCCATGTCTTAAAATGTCACCAGTTGCGCTTTTAAATTACACTTAAAAAGACGAATTATCATTATTTTCTCTATTCTTATTAGTGTTTCATGATTAAAATTGCAACCACAATCTTCATATTTTGACAAGAAAAACTAGGAGTATGTACATGAAATATATGCGTTTTAAGTTTTCTTAAAGATATTTTAACAGGTGAAAATGAACTTCTACATATCTAGGTTTTAGGATCATTAACATATTTTTAACGGATAAGAAAAAGATATCTAACAATTTCTTTAATTATGTTAGCGGTTTCATGAGTAATATAAAAAATGTTTACAAGCCACGTGACCGACGAGCGTAGACAACCATCATTGCAGCGCTAGTACTGGTAACGAGAAATCTCTAAATATTGGCGAGACCAACATTAACGATTCATTTACGTTGAACAATGACAAACCGTTACGTTTATGCTTGAGATAATGCGGTCGCTGATTGATTGAATATTGTGAATATCGTGAAAAATTGCAGAAATCACTAGCCGGTAAATTTTGATCTTATTGTTTTAATTTTACCCGAAAATTGCCAACGTGACTGTTCCAAACAAAATTACTGGTCGTGTGGCTTTATGAAGGCTGTGTATTTGTTTACATCATTAAATCAGAATTTGTATAGGTAAATATAATAATTTGTCATAAATTATTAAACAAAGTTTATCATTTGAATCGTATTTAACAATTTTTATACTGGTGTAAATTTTGTAAGATAAGTCTTTCTTCTCGTTTTCATCCATTATCATTAGGATCTATTTAAAAAAAAGCGGAATCACGAAATATGGGAAATGTTTTCGAAGAAATCACGATTTTTTCGCAACAAACAAAACCCGGAGAAATGATATGTTAACCCGGAGCCCGAAGATGTACCATCAAACCCCGAAGACTCCGGCTCAAACCCGGAGTTCCATAGAAAATATAGGTACGTTAGTACTATATATATTTTCTATGCCGGAGTTCTGGCAACCCTAATTATCATGTACATGTCCTGTCTAGATTAGTGTTGTTTTATTTTATAACTTCCAATGGTTGAATACCTCAATAACTAACGTAACTATTTTTTACAAAAATTTAATTATCAGCATTTTATCACCGAATCGTTATTTCTTTTAAGCAAATGCTTCTGGTGTCATTAAACAAAAATCATGATAAATTATTACAAATTCTGTCGGTAAATTCTTAAATAATTACAGTTATTATAACCGAAAACAAATGAATATTTAATGATCATGTTTAAGCTTATTTCTACACAAAATTTACAACTTCGTGGCGCCAAATAATTTCATATTAGTTATAACATGATTACTTCGTTATTTATGAAGACGTCGGAGTAAATGAATAAATTTCATGCCATTTGGGACGAGAATAAGGATATTAAAAGTACAAATAAAAATGTAGAAATAATAATGCACAGCGTGTGGACCTATTTATGTATTGAATATACCTATATATGGATGATAAAACAGAGAAAAAACTGGTCAAAGGCCTATGAATCAACGACATTAGTAGTTCCTATTATAAGAAAAAAACTGTCGTTTATTAAGAACTTTTGATAAAATTTGCATTTTCTTAATTGCCATTATACAAACAGAAAAAAACAATTTATGTTCTAGTAATTGAGACTAATGTAGGTAGGTTCACCTTGTTATTTTTTTAATGTCAAATGTCATAGCCATATTATTTCGTGTGTATTGGAAAAACGTTTATTTTTTGTCTTTGCTTATTTTTTCACCGATAGGTACAAATAGTTGCCACTATTTTTCAGTAATTATTGCCACTTTAAAGAGAAAGTGAAAAATACTGGATATTTTAGAGACCTTAGACATATACCTATCACCCGATAGGTATAATTTATATCTCAAACAATTAATAATAAAAATAATAATAAAATTTTGGAATTTATTATAGTAACCGCCCCTAATGTCAATTACTGGGTTACCCTAAACTGAAAAATCACTTCAGATTTAAAAAAGTGATGTCCTAAGTTTAGATTCAGGTATTCTGTATTGTCTATTAGTAATATATCCTGATTTCATGAATTATTGTGGCACAATTAGTTATTCTAACGCCAGTGGGTTTTGGGATAAAAAGTTTTACGGCAATTACCCACCTGGCGAATTTGATCATTAATTTTCTTAGACATCAATTTTAGTAGGTACGTAGATACATTACATGTTTACTAACGTGGTTCATAGGTCAGTGTTGCAAATGAAACAGCTTGCTGAAGGCTAACATTTCATACCTTAATTTCAAAAACTAATTGAGCAAAACGGATAATACATAGGTAGGTACCTAGTTGCCTTATAAATAGGTTATTTGTTTTTATCTTTTTTAATGACATACATCTTGATTAGACGCGTGATACGATACGGCTTATTTTTCGCCGTTGTTGGTCTTTTATTACTTACGAAGGTGGATATTATATTTCATACATATTTAGAAAACGTTATAGAGCTGTTTAAATTGAAAGGTAATAACAGGTATATTTAGAAACACATGATCACTGGATACCTGATGCCCCGAGGGTTTTGGCGTTTCAAATTACGTAGGTACCCGTGAAGTAACACAAGTAATTATTAAGGCCAATTGGCCAGTATTGCGTTAATGCTACAGCAGTCTTATCTATTTTGAATAAAAATATGTATGTAAATATGTAGATAAACTAAAACCTTTTAATTACTACACCATTTACGGTTTTTAAAACGTATCTCTATCTTGTATGTCACGGTTTTAGTCAGTTACTGAATCTGGTGAGAGGTGAGACTTTGCCTAAATTAACTGCCACAAAGCATCTTTTTAGGTAGATATCTTATTTTTTTTTTGATATGATAACGTATCGTTTCTTCTTCATTTCATAATATAATTTTTGAGATTGTTAAATGAATACCTAAATTTTTTTACTATAGGTACTCGAGTTCGAAATTCATTCAATCTAGTTTTATTAATTATGATTCTTTCAGTTTTATTTCTCTATACGTATAATTTTGAGACTAATATGAATACACTTCTTCATATTATATTTACATATAATCAAATGTATTCAAGTACATAGTTACATCATACAATTTAACATATAAACAAATTTAAAACGATAATCCCCACTACGAGGTCAAAATATTTGTGTAAATACTTTTTTAAACGATTTTAACACATACCATTCTGTTTTTTGACTCGTTTCTTGCCATTTCTCTTTCCAGGAGGAGTCATATTTGGTATATCCTCAAAGATAATATCACAATAAGAATCAGTTGTACTGTTCGAAAGCACTATAACCTACTATCACAGATTTGTAATTTGTACGAATAAATATTACTGAGTTTACAAACAGAAGTTCACATCATTATTCCCCGGTTATTAATAAATTAACACATGTGCACTTTTCCCGCCTATTAAAAGAAAATACAATCCTTCCAAGCCAACTTCATAACACGCTAAATATAAGTAGGCGTTCTCGATACACATCATCCTCATTCATTTGTTATTCACCTGCGACGTGCTAGATCGCGATTCAGGCTGACTGAGCGGCTTACGCTCATGCTCTCTCGATTAGAACGTAACAACTGGTTACCCGTAAGGAGATTACAGGTTGTTATAGCTATGGCTGTGAAAAAACAAGCAAGCAAGCAGCGTTTGAGTCAGACACTTTAGTGGGGTGGGGGCAGATCTCTATTGTTACTGCACGCTAGGATGCTGGGCGGTCAGGCAACTGGATGTTCGTGTACGAGGAGGTGTGAAATATTTAGGCGAACCTGGCAGTTTCTAGTTTTCGAATAGGCAGTGACAGGTTATTTGTTTCCAATTTAAAGTATGCTCATATTTTATGGTAGTGTGAAAAATTTTAAAATATTATGACCTCGATTATTTACAAATGAGAAGTACGAGTTTAGATGTTATTTTCCGTACTAAAAAAACAAGGGTAATTATTTACTATAGTGGCACCCTCTCCAATTTTCACAAAATTTTGTCTACCCCCCTATTTTCGATGGTGCTGAACACGAATCTGAATTTTTTTTTGTGCGGTCGAACCCAGTTTTTGAGAAAAAATTCTAACCTGAATATTTCAGATAACACTACCTAGAACTCTGTATATTTTATGTAGCTTTCAGAACATTTGTAATAAACAATGAACATTGTTTAAGAAACACATTTTCCCAAATTTGAACTAAAAAAAATATGTATTTAATAAATAAAATTATAGGAACTTTATGTGGGATGAACAGAGTTGAATGAGAGTGGGGGAACTCAATGTTGTCATCACGAATTACAAATGGCGGATTCAAACTACAAAATTTTTATTTATTAAATACATATCTTTTTACTTGAACTTTACGAAAATATGTTTCATGAACAGTGTTAACTGTTCATAACAGATGTTCTGAAAGCTCAACATAAAATATACAGAGTTCTACGTAGTGTTATCTGAAATATCCAGGTTAGAATTCTGAATTTTTTTTTTCTTGAAAACTAGGTTCGACCGCACAAAAAGAACTGCAGATTCGTGTTCAGCACCATCGAAAATAGGGGGGTTGACAAAATTTTGTGAAAATTGGAGAGGGTGCCACTAAAGTAAATAATTACCAAAATAAAAGGTAGATACAACAAGAATACACACAGTTGTGTACACACACCATTATTCCTCTAAAAAACTGATGATGTCATGTTTTAATATTAAACATAACCCTGTGTCCAAAAAATAAGCTAAATTACATACTTATTTAAGCTTCGCGGGTATTATAAAAGCATACAATTATTTTTTTGTAGGTTGGTACTGGTAGAAATTTTGTTTGCGGAATGAATATTCTGTCGCGGAAACGTTGGGTGAGGATGTTACAGTAGTGATGAGGTTATGTCGCAAAAAATGTTTACAAGTGGTACAAAGACTTTAAAGTAGGCAGAGAAAGCGTTAAGGATGAACAGGGTCCCGGTCCGGACGACCATCAACGTCAACTGATGAACAACAACTTGTTGATGGCATTTCAAAAGATTCGGTAAATACCATTTTAAAATACCTATTTGTTGTGCCTTACACGCGTCAAATCATTTTTGCTTCTAAAAACGCTCAACTTGTTGGAAAAACAACGTCACGTTGACATCTGTGAAACAATGATTTCTGACTATCAAGAGCAAGACGTAATGAAACATGAAACACAGCATTACTGGAGACGAGACTTGAATCTACGCTTACGAGCCGGAATATCGTGCAAACGGTGAACCAAGACCGAAAAACCCACACCAGTCACTCAAAAATCAATCAAAGTCATGTTGGAATTATGGACAGACAATTCTTTTTTTGGCACAGAGCGTTTTTGGAAATAAAAGCTGAATCGAAGCTGGTCTTCAATACCATAAGGATTTTTCAGACTGTTGTGAGAGTTGGAAAATTCACTAAACTCTAAGTGTAATCGTTTCTGTATAACCCGATGTAAAAAATTATGACGATTTTTTGAGTTTAACCAAGAATACACACAAAAATAAGTTTAATAAAGTCACCTTAAATGAAAATATTTTGTAAAATTTTATTAAAAAAAAAGTTATTCAATTTAATATACTTATTGAATTACAATTAGTTATTTTGTAAAATAACTTGTCATTCAGAAAATATAAGGTACCTACCTGCATTGTTTGAAATATATCTTACAACTTAAAGTAGGTGCTTGACTTATTATTTTAGAGAAAGAAAAACAAGAAATTATTTTGTTTTAAAAATCAGTAATGGATTTTAAGGCTAATACGAAGCTGTTGTATATTGACTGGTACCCGTACATTCTTTTTAGTTTCGGCTACAGGCTACAGAGTCGAAGCGCCTCCGTGAATACTGAGAAGACAAAAAGTCCTTATAGTGGTATCCCAGCAGGTTTTATCAACTTGTTCGACATGAAAGCATTTAATTTGGAGACACTGCGGGCGAGATAGTGCCCACCACGGACACCACAAACTATTTATTAAACAGGAGCGAGTTTCACATTAGTGAAGATCTATCTGCTGTTTTTGTAAAACGTTTACATTAAATTGCACTTTATGCAGCGACTTTAATAACTTTAATGACGTTATAAAAATCTAATTTTAGTACTTGTAAATCATAGTAAGCATAAATAGACAATGTCATTTTTCGCATTTTGACTGATAATATGCTATTTTACAGATTGTACTAAATTCAAAATCGTTTACGTTGATTGAAATACAATATTTCAGTCAACGCCGTTTACTAAAGTTGCACTTTACGAAAAGAAAATGTCACTTTACTATATTATAGTCGCGGCAATTAAGCACTAAAAAGGCCAAAAGTTCGGAATTTTTTCCACAAAGTCGGATCGGAATGCGGTTTTTTGCATTCTCTTCTAAAAATTTTTTGTAAAAAATGTGGCTACTTTGTGTTTCTGACAAACCGGAAATTGCATTGCTGCAGCCAAAAATGCATTAAAAAAATGCATTTTTTGAGACGCCTTTTGGAAGATTTTAAAACTTTGTAAATAAGAGTCAGAACTGTCCCAAATCGGGTACTCGGGGGTTTTCGAGGTCGCTGATCACGATTATGATGTTCAAATTGACCCCCCGAACACCTGGAGCTCAGGATCGAACGTCATCTCCGTGGAACTCTCCCACAAATCACGCGGGGAAGGAGAGAAACTCGGCGCCCGGGGTATTTTTTGGGTCGCTGAATTCAAATATGCCATCGTCGAACACCCCCCGGACACCTGGTGCGCCCGAACCTGGACGTGGATGTCATCTCCGAGAATTTTCCTGACAAGATTGACAAAAACAACCCGAAAATCATTGTGGGGACGTTTCTTGGGGTGCTTAATCCAAATTTCATGTCGAAAACGACCCCCTGTACACCTGGTGCACCGTAACCTGGGCCTGAACGTCGCCTCCGTTGGTTTTCCTCGCACAATCGAAAAAGATGAACCGAAAATCGATAGGGGGGGGGGGGTTGGGGCGCTGAATCCGAATTCCACGTTGACAACGACCCCCCAAACACCTGGTGCATCGGACCCTGGCTCCGAACGTCTTCTCCGTGGGGCTCTCCCAAAATTCAAGCGGGGAAGGAGAGAAACTCAGCGTCCGGGGGTTTCTTGGGTCGCTGAATTCAAATGTGGCATCAATACTGAAAGATATTCAGTTGAAAACGTTATTACAGCAGAGAGAGAGAGAGGCCTTAGATGAGGAAGATGATCTACTTATGAATACGTCAGTTGATGACGAAGAAAATGAACAGACTAGCGATGTGTCACTTGATGAAGAATTTGATATTGAGTTACGTATTTAAAAATTAAGGGTATTAATTAATGAGGGAAGGTAAAGTTACAGTTGGATTGTATCTGATTTGAGTTCAATATAAAATTTTTTAAACGCCATTACATAAATATTGACTTTCTATTCATTCTATTTCTTTCCTCCTCACATAATTTAACTAGAATTCCACACAGCTGTTGCAGTATTGATGTCGGTCTCTAAGACATCAGGTTTGGTTGGCATTCATGGGAATGACATCGATGTCAAGATAAAAGTTCGGGTGCACCAGGTGTTGGGAGGGTACTTTTCGACGTGAAATCCGGATTCAGCGCCCCGAAAAACCCCTCATAACGATTTTGGGTTCGTCTTCTTCGATTGTGTGAGGAAACCCCTCGGAGGCGACGTTCAGGCCCAGGTTACGGTGCACCAGGTGTACAGGGGGTCGTTTTCGACGTGAAATTTGGATTAAGCGCCCCAAAAACGCCCCTACGATGATTTTTGAGTTGTTTTTGGCGTATTTTTGAGGTCAAAATAAGAATTTTGTTTCCTATAAATGTGTGTCCACAAATGCTTAGTTTTCGATATACACGGTGTCAGTTTTTTATTTTTTTCGATTTTTTAGGAATAATTTCCAAATAGATTTGTATGTACGAATAAAAGTTGGGGTACGGAGGTTTTTTAGGATGGTAAATTTATATATGTATGTCATTGCTTGTAGAGGGCGCCACCTATAAGGGTATGCTTAAATTAAATTGGCCTTATCTTTTTCGCTACCCTGTACATTGACGATTCGTATTAGTGCGTTTATTCCCCTTATTCAATTTTAAGCAAAAAAAGGTATACTTGGTTGTAATCTCTCAGACCAACCCACCGTTTCCGAGATATTGGCTGATGAAAAGTTCAATGCACACCATATTTTCAAATTTTATAACTATTTACGGTGAAAAATTTTAAAACTTATTTTGGACTCACGTCTTATTTTGACCTCAAAAATACGCCCCTAAATTCTTTGTATTGAATTTTGCATCAGCCTGTAAATTGACAGTACAATTATTCAATTTGAAAAGTTAACAATACAAAATGTATTCAATTCTACTTGTTATTGCTGAAAACTATTATGGTTCTCTATCTGTATTACTAAATGATCTTGAGGTGCAATTAGTTTTTGCTGATGAAATATACTTTTTGAAATATTCAACTTATTGACGATGCTTTCCTCCATATAAGTACCTTTCTGCTCTACTAGTTAACTGCCATCCTCCATTACATGTATTTTAAGTGTTTGAATATCAGCTCCACTGTCAGCGAGGGAAGTGGCAGACGTCTTCAAGCAATGGCC